TTGTGTGACTACTATATATAAATATTTCACCCATACTATCAAGAATCAAATCCATTTATTCCTCATTTTGCTCCCTTCCCCCAATTCCCTAGTACCGAAGAAAAAAAAAAGAGTAATAATTTTGTATTTCTTTTTTTTTTTTTTGAAAATAGGTAATGGAGTTTTGTATTTCAATTCTTCTTAAATGTTACACTTTTACAAGTGGACAGAGGTCGAAATCAGCAATGATTTCTTGATAAGAATTTCTTACAACCAGACATGTGGTGCCTTTATGTGTCTGTTGGATCATTTTATATATAGTGGAGTGCTAGGGGCACTCGCTTTCTGCACTCTCCGGCGGACACTGCCTCTTTCATTGGGCCACGTTGTTTTAGTTGGTCGGAGATTGCTCTTCAAAGTTTAAAACAACCTTACGTGGCCCAATGAAAGGGGCAGTGTTGGCCGGAGAGTGCACGAAGCGAGTGCCCCTAGCACTGCTCTTATATGTGTATATATATATATATATATTTGTAAGAAGTCAAATTTAAATTATTGCTCGGACAAAGGAAATGCACTTTAAACATGATTTAACGACATTAGATTCGATTCAAGTGCTGTTGTATTATTTTATATTAATTTTTATGAAATACATAATATTATATTTATTTATTTAATATCATATGTATATATAAAAGTAATAATATCTATTTATTTTATTTTTTAAATATTATAAAAAAAATATTTAAAATTTTATTATTTAATAAATTCAAATTAATTTATAAATAAATATTTTTAAATATTAGAATTAACTTATTTAAAAATAATTAATTATAAAATATTTTAAATTAGTGAGTTTAACCTAATTATTGGTGTAGCCATAACCTTACCTTAATTGATCAACCAAGTAATTCTTTACTGTTATGAGTTATTTGGTATAATGATTAGAATTTACCAAATAACGAGTAGCGAAGAGTGAACTGAATAGTGATAGTAAGTAGGGGTGGTGATTAGTAGATAATAGATGATAAATAATAAAGAATGAGTAGTAAATAGTAGATAATAAATTTGATTAATATAACTATTTGATTATATAATTATTAGTTGTTATTGTTTAAAATTAAAT